GTGTGTGTGTGTGTGTGAGTGTGTGTGTGTGTGTGAGTGTGTGTGTGTGTGTGAGTTAGCGATACGCCTGAGAAAAGTGGTGGACGCATACCAATTCTGTGTGTGTGCGTATGTTGGGGGGGCCGCGGGGGGGAGGTGGTGGGTGGGTGGGTGCGTGCCAAAGACAACCCGTTAGAAAAGGGCGACTGTTAGATACTCTCTCGTCGACTCATCAGGCGGTTGGACCGCTGTGTGTGTCTGAACACAACTCCACAGAATAAACGGGTGATTGTGACTGTTTCGTCGGATTTTTACCGACGCAACAGGAGGTTGAACTGCTCTGCGTGTGTGTGTGTGTGTGTGTGTGTATTCTTATATCTCTCGCTGTTTGTGAATGTGCGCAATATCTGTGCTAAGTCATCTAGCTATATGTTAGCGGTACTTGTGTAAGTATTCAGTTCCGTCATTCTACATCTACCCGAGTGCGCATCGCTTTCTTTCTGTCTATCTATTTGCTCCTGTCCTTGTCTATATCATCCTCGGCTGTTTATGTACTCAATTTTACGACGATTGAACTATATCTATCTATTTCTCCTCTCCTTCTCTTTCTATACCTAGTTCGATGTATGTATGTATGTATGCATGCATGTATGCAATTCTATTTCTTATCTATCTAGATCCCTGTATATGTACCCGAACCCCTCGTACAGCGACGTCGAAAATCGTATGTGCCAGGTCATTGACGAAATCTTATCTATCTACTCTCTCTCTCTCTCTCTCTCCAATCTATCTATCTAATCTATCTAATCTATCTAATCTATCTATGTAACTAATCTATCTAATCTATCTATCTAATCTATCTAATCTATCTAATCTATCTATGTAACTAATCTATCTAATCTATCTATGTAACTAATCTATCTATCTGTCTAATCTATCTATGTAACTAATCTATCTAATCTATCTGTCTAATCTATCTATGTAATTAATCTATCTCATTTATCTTATCTATCTATCTAATCTTTCTATTTATCTATCTAATCTATCTATCTATCTACCTACCTATCTAATCTATCTACCTATCTATCTAATCTGTCTGTCTAATCAATCTATTTATCTAATCTATGTATGTCTATCTATGTATGGCTATCTATTTATCTATCTATCTGTTGATTGACCTGCCTGCATACTTACCTACACGCTTGTCGACCTGGCAGCTTGCATACCTTTGCCGTTCGATGTCTGCCTTCGGACCTCTCTCTCTCTCTCTGTGTCTCTATTTATCTATCTATTTTTCTCCTCCCTTTTCTATCCCTTCTCCTTCTCCCTTTCCCCCTCCTCCTCCCCCTTCCCCCTTCCCCCTCCCTCGCCCCCTCTTCCTCCTCCCCTTTATTTCCCTTCTCCTTCTCCCTCTCCCCCGCCTACGCGCTTCTCCTCTCCTTTCTTTCCCTTCTCCTTCTCCTTCTCCCTCTCCCCCTCCTCCTTCCTCTTCCTCTTTTCCATCTTCTCATCCTCTTCCCCCTTCCCCTCCCCCTTCTTGTCCATCTTCCCCTCCTCTTTCTTCGCCCTCCTCTCCACTTCCCCTTCCCCTTCCCTTTTCCCTCCCTCTCCCTCTCCCTCTCCCTCTTCCCGTCCCTCTCCTTCCCCTTCCTCTTTGCCAGCATCCTCTTCTTCTTTGTCATCTCCCCCTTCTTCTTCTTCCCCTTCTTCTTCTTCTTCTTCTTCTTCTTCATCCTTTTCTTCTTCTTTCTTCTTCTTTCTTCTTCTTTCTTCTTCTTCTTCTTCATCTGCCTCCTTTCGTTTGTCTTCTTCTTCCCCTTTTTCTCACTCATTTGCGTATTTGCCCCTCCTTTATCTTCGACACCCTGCACGCCGGCTGAGATCGGCCCCTCCTTTATCTTCGTTGTCCATATTGGGACGTCGGGGCAGGTTCGTTCATTCTCTCCTCCCAGTTTCCCTTCTTCTCGACGTCGTGTTGATGCTAATCTGCCACGTCGGCAGGTTCTTCGTCTTACCGACAGCCTGCTCTGCCACGTCGACAGCGTTCGTTCGTTAATCACGCGCCGACCGCGCCAGATCAGACCTGCTGGCTTTCCAATGGTGACCGACTCGGATCTGCGGGCAGATCTACCAAATGCTTGTGGCTCTTGACAGCCACAAATGTCTACCTATCTCGATGGCTTATCAGCGTCGATGGTATACTGCATCCCATTTTGTTACGCTTGCTTATCAGCTTGGCACTGACGCTGTTGAAAATCAGTCGTTGTATGTATGACCATAATGGTCCACCTCCTGAGGGTAGGGAGTAACTATACTCTACCTCAGTAAAGGGCTTTACTGTAAAAATTTCTTACTTAACAGTTAGCGCTCCACGGCCGCCACGTTCTTCTTATATGCATCATGCGACGTCAGGCGATGGATGACCTTGATGACCATCCATCCTCATATTTCTGCCTACATGTTGCACAGACCCGGGCATTACTGTATATGGCACTCGTTCGTGCAGCTGCCCAGTGGGAACTGTGGGATGGTGGGACGATGATTCAGCTTTTTTTTTTTTTTTTTTTTAATAAACCCCAATCTATTGGTGGGGAGCAGCACCTGCTGGAGAAAGCGGGTCCAGCGACCCTCGTACAATGAGAATAAAGTCTTGTTGACGTATATACAAACATGTGACAAATGAGCTGAGACCTGCCTCTTCAGTCCGCTGAGGGGGCACGATGATTCAGGCGATTTTCAACGTAAATGAACTTTTGCGTGCATTGTCGAATCCTACTTTATTCTGGATTATTCTGAGACCTGCCTCTCGTGTGACACCTGCCACCTGTTCTCCGGACAGGGACCCTTATCTGTCGAATCCTACTTCATTCTGTGCGCCTTGGCTTGGGAATTCATCATCTATGCCATCACCATTATATCAATCTATTGCAGCCGCCGCCGTCTGTGCGGGAGAGAGGGTGTCGAACATTTCCTTATTGTATTCATGCCTATCTCACCCAGATGTTCGTTGTCCCTTTTTTTGCGCAAGGACGCTATCAGGACTGCATGATGCCGCACTGTGATGAACGTCCTGCTGTTTTTTTTGACATGTGGACAACAGCATGTCCTTTGTCAGGACTGTTTTGATGGGATGGGATGGGATGGTCCGTGCTAGCGGTCCTGCTGAATGATGCTGTGCTGGCGCAGCTCTCCTTGGGTATCCTTGTGAACATCCACGTCATCCTCAGCCTGCCTGTCCTATCTGCCGGGTTGGGGGCTCCTCTTCCTGATTGGCCGATAGAATCAAGCAGGTCAGGAGCAACACTATCTGTTGGACAGATAAAGATTTCGACACTACCAACAGATATGGAGTTCAAGAAAGAAGAAAGAAAAAATTGGAAAAAATGAAAAGAAAAAGAAGGAAAAAAAAAAGCAAATTGCTGAAGAACAGGAAAAAGAAAACAAGAAAAAAAAAAAAACTCGAACTTTGTTGTTGTCCTATCTGCCGGGTTGGGGGCTCCTCTTCCTGACTGGTCAATATAATCAAGCAGGTCAGGAACAACACTAACTGTTGGACAGATAAAGATTTCGACACTACCAACAGATATGGAGTTGAAGAAAGAAGAAAGAAAAAAATGGAAAAATGAAAAGAAAAAGAGAAAAAAAAAAAAGCAAATTGCTGAAGAAAAGAAAAAAGAAAACAAGAAAAAAGAAA